TAGCTAATGCATCTGCTATAATAATTTTTTCTAACATCAATTCAATTCTCATGCTTAATAAGACAAATTTCAAGGTTTGGAAAGAGAACATTCTAATTGTTCTTGGGTGCATGGATCTAGACCTTGCCTTAAGAACTGAACTACTCTAACTTCTCACTGCGGATAGCACTCTTGATGCAAATAAGGAGTATGAGAAGTGGGAGCATTCAAATCGCACGAGTCTAATGATTATTAAGCGTGGTGTTCCGGAAACCTTCAGGGGCATAGAATCCAAAGAGATTACTAAAGTGAAAGATTTTCTTACCGAAATTAAGAAACATTTTGCTAAAAACGATAAGGTAGAAACATGCATGCTTTTAGGTCGTTTGATTTCAATAAAGTATAAGGGCAAATGAAATATCAGGGAGTACATCATGGAGATGTCCCATATTACTTCAAAACTTAAGGTACTTAAACTCGATCAATTGTTGGGTAAATACCCGGGGCTACGCTAAACCTCTAAAATAGTAAAAACGTGGTATAGAGAAAATACACCAAGATTTAATGAGGTTTGGTAATTTCCTATACCCTCGGGAGCCACACAATTAATTTCTTATTAATCAATAAGAAATTACAGTACAAGAGCAGATCTCAAACTTGAGATCTCTCAATTAATACAATCTTCGCTGTAGCTACAGTGAAGATTCTCCTCTCTTAAATATTCCCCCTCTTAAGTTCTCTCTTTAATTTTTCTTAAAATCTCTGCTCAAATTTACTGTTGAGAGCTGGAGAAAAAGAGAGAGAGCATAGGAGAAATCGCCTCTGGGAAGAGAAGAAGCACCGGCAAGAGATCGTGAGAAGAAGTAGTGAAAATCTCAGATTTGGGTTTCCCTTTTATAGGGAAATCCTATTGCTGAGCTGTCGACAGGCTATCAATAGCCTGAGAGAAGCTCGTCCGCGCTTGAGGAGCTCGCCAACTTGCCCTGAGCTCACCTGTCTTGGATAGAACCTGCCTGCATCCCGTTCGCTTGCCTGAAGTTGTTTGAACTCGCCTGTATGGGGTCCGCGCTGATGTTGTCTTGGATAGAACCCGCCATTAGCTCGCCTGCCATGAGCTCACCTGATCATGCTCGAGCTCACTTGCGGAAGTTCCTAACCCGCCATTAGCTCGCCTGCCATGAGCTCACCTGATCATGCTCGAGCTCACTTGCGGAAGTTCCTCGAGCTCGCCTAACCTCATCAAGACCTCGCCTGCACTAATGTTTGGATCTACACCCAAACTAACAATCTCCCACTTGGAGACCAAACCGCCATCAGCAGGCTATCTCAACAAGTATTATCTCCTGTATGGTTCCTCCCTCATCACCTATGCATGAAGGCCAACTGATGTTACACACAACTCTAGTTTCTGAATGGTCACCGTCTTTGTTAACATATCTGTTGGATTCTTACTTCCTGAAATCTTCTCCGGTTTCAACACATCATCTTCCAACATGGGTCTGATGAAGTAGTTGTAGGCGTCGAAAAATGCCTATAGGTATCCACACATAGCTCGAGACGGAGAGAAGATGACGAACGTCGTTATCCGAATTATCTAACGCCGACCAATGCATGAAACAAAACGGCCAATGCTAGATGGCCCGCGTGCTCACCGGCCACCACCAAGTGGCTAACACGTTCACTATTCACCTCCAACTTAACAAAATTTATGATGCAAGTCGGTGAAGCGTACGAGTCAATGTAACACATGAAATGGCAAAAGACAACGCAGCTAGGAGTTGTGTTTCACCCAAAAGGGGCGAAACACCATGTGTGACTCGCACATATCATGTGTGACTCGCACATATCATGTGTGGCTCGGCTATTGGAAGTTGTATGTCTTTTCGTCAGCTTTCCAACGCATCTTGAATCACCTCATTCCGAGATCGGACGAGAGAGTTAGAGCTAAAACACCCGAGGTAGTACGAACTGGCTCGGTGACTCGCACCCATGCGAGTCACCAAATGGTGGCTCGCACAAAAAGTGATATTTTAGCCATGTTGTGATTTGATTCTGAAGAAACTCAAAACACAAAAGTTATAGGTCTTTTCATCAGCTTTCTAACGCATCTTGAATCACCTCATTCCGAGATCGGACAAGAGAGTTAGATCCAAAAAACCCGAGATAGTACGAACTGACTCGCATGACTGCGAGCCACCTGGCCGAGCCACCAAATGGTAGCTCGCACAAAAAGTGATGTTTCGGCCATGTTGTGATTTGATTCTAAAGAAACTCAAAACACAAAAGTTGTAGGTCTTTTCATCATCTTTTCAACACATCTTGAATCACCTCATTCCGAATCGGACGAGAGAGTTAGAGCCAAAACACCCGAGGTAGTACGAACTGGCTCGCATGGCTGCGAGCCACCTGGCCGAGCCACCAAATGGTGGTGTGATTTGATTCTGAAGAAACTCAAAACACAAAAGTTGTAGGTCTTTTCGTCAGCTTTCCAACGCATCTTGAATCACCTCATTCCAAAATCGGACGAGAGAGTTAGAGCCAAAACAACCGAGGTAGTACGAACTGACTCGCATGGCCACCTGGCCGAGCCACCCAAATCTGGGCCCAGATCTGAGCCCAGATCTGGTTTGAAGAGCCTATAAATAGACCCCTAGGCTCATTGTTTGAAGGTGGGACTTTGGAAAGGGGAAACTCTGCAGGATTAAAGACTCAAGACTAAAAAAGATTGGAGCTTTCGAGCTTTGAGGACTCGGACTTTTCAGATCTGGTTTTTGGCGATCATCCACGCCAAATAAGGCAGGAGTTCGAGAGAGATCAGATCTGAGATCTACACGGTCATCCTCCGGATCAAAACTTAGTTTTTGATCCCGAGAAGAGTATTGATTTCGCTTGGTCGATTTCGATTACTTAGGGCTATTATTTTCTTAGTGAAATAATCCCCTCGGCCGTTATTTCCTTCGTGAAATAACACCCGTTATACCGTGTAGATCCGACCGGATCAAGATCGCATGGTGGTCCACGGATTAACCCCGGCGCGGGCAAAGAACCCACACAAGCGAGAGACCGCAAAACAGGATCTCGCGATTTGTTCGACAAATAAAGAAAGTTGTAATTTTCTCTTTTTTTCTTTGATTTTGTTGTAACCGGATCTTATAAAAAACCGGATCTTTGTAACCGATAAACTGTTGCACAAGAGAACAATGACTTCAATTAAAATGATTTTCCCCACGAATAATCTGGCGACCACAGTGGGAGCCACCGATCTCGCTGCCGAGATCGTTGCGTCGCAGCCGCGGATCTCAATCCCGGTCGAGGAGGAGGTCGAGTATGAATTCGACCAACAAAAGTTCGAGGAGTATCTGTCATCCTCGTCCGGATCCACCTCCCCCCGCAAGTCCAAGAAGTTCTCCTCCAGGAAAAAAGTCCGTTGGTATGAAGAAGTGCAGAATGCCAACGAAGATCTCCTCCAGGAGAAAAATCTGTTCCTGCCAACGCCTCCGCTGCTGAGGGCATAGTGACTCTCTCAAAGAGAGCCCGCCAGAGGCGACGTCAATGCCTGGCGCGACAATTCGCAAAGGCGATGGAGTCCATTGACGGAATCCGCTATAACGCGGATCTGAAGAACAGGAGAGGCAAACAGCCTCAACAACCAATGAATGGCAGCTCCTCCAAACCGCCAACGAATGAATAGATCCGTGTCAAGCGGAATCGTTCGACACTTGAGGAGCGCATTCGCAAGCGCCGCACACTGTCAGCGCAAGCACGGGCTCAAGTCCAAGAAGCCCGCAAAAGACTGCAGAAAGAAGTGGCCAAAAAGCCACCACCAACCCGCCAAGTATGGAGGCCGAAGTCTGAAGCGGCGATTCAGGCTAAGGAGCAACCTTTGCAGCCTTCAACAAAAGTTCAACCTCCGGCGAACCAACCTAAATCTCCGACAATTCCCATAGCTACTCCAGGAGATCCTGCAGAATCATCCCGAAGAAAGAAGTCAGTTTTGGAGTGCCTCGGTCCACTTCCTGATGGACGATGCAAAGCTCCAGTTCAAGAACGTTTGGGTCCGATAAAGAAGCCCCGAACGACTCAACATGCTGAGAGTCGCCGCCACCCTCAACATGACAAAGAGATCAGTGCAGCTAGGCGCACCAATTTGCACATTGAAGTTCAGGAGCCCGCTGAGAACTCACGCTCACAAAGGCATGTTTCGAGGCGCGTGACTCTTGAAAGCCCAAAGAAGACAGTTCGCCATCAGAAGGAAACATTGTCGTCTGATGACGATAGCGTTATACCTGAGAAGTCGTGCCAACACACGATAGGTTACTCCGACCTTCAAACAGACGAGTTGTACTATCGTGTTTGGGGTACGAGTGAAACCAGGAAAAGGAGTCCTCGAGAACTAGAAACTCAATGCCCCTGTTCCAAACTCATTCGGGCAGTATTGTCTGAGTGTAACTGCATCAATACAGTCCCCGAAAGAATTTTGGTTTTCGAAAGGCTCAATACCGAAACGCCAAAACCAAGGCCTAGGCGTTTCCGACAAAGAAGAACGGTAGTTGAAGATGGAGAATTTCCGAGGGTCACCACTAATATGACCAGCAAAGGGACATCAACACAGGATAATCCCAAGTCGATTCCGGAAGCACCCTGGCGTGTAACATGTCTGCAGTCTGGAGCCATCATACGAGCAACTTATGGTAGGATTTAGACAAGATTACCTTCAGAAGATGAAGAATCGGATGCCAGCTCGGCGGTCGCATCAGATAATACGGTATCCTGCGAGGGACAACCCCGCGAGTCACTTATGATAAGTGCGGAACAAGTGGCCAAGATGCTCGAAGAAGCCATGGCTAAACAACAGGAGAGCTTCAGGTTCGAAATACAGATGACCATACAGAATATGAGAGAAATGCATGATCAACAAATCCAAGCACTGACAAACCAGTAAGGCGAACCAAGTCGTCGTAACCAGGTTAATTAGGAAGATGAGGACACATGTGTGAATTGAATGGCTAACTAGAGAGGCGATGCTTGTTGACCTGCTTGCAAATTCGAGACACATCCACACTCATCCCCCCTCCGCCGCCGCCGCCTAGGTCCACTCTTTTTGGTCACTCATCATCACCCAACCGCTCGCACAAAGTCTCTCGTCTCCCACCTCGTGCTCGCGCTCGTGGTCTTTGAAAAGTCTCCGCTGACTGTTAGTTACCAAGTCTCCTCGCCCACCCTCATAAAAATCCCCATCCCCCAACTCCGGAACTCCCTCAATCTCCCCCAAATCCCCACCCCGTCGGAAGATGGATAAGCCCTCTAACGAACCCAACACCTTCACCTACGACTCCCCTCACCCAATCTACGCCATGGCCTTCTCTCCTTCCATCTCCTCCCCTCTACCGCCTCGCGTCGCAGCTTGCCGGCGAGACCGCACCAAACCGCCGTGCGACGTCCTTCCTCCTTCTACCCCGACTAGCCTCTCGCTTCCTTCTCCCTCCCCCTCTCCCTCCCTTCGACGCACCCTTACCCTCGACCAAGCTCCTCTTCCATCGCGACCGCCTCCCACTCCCTCCTCGGCCTCGCTGCCGCACTCCCTCCGCCCTTGCGCAACATTAACGAGTCCTGCATCGATCTCCCGGTCGCCTCTTCAACAAACAGCAAGTCCAGGACGATTACTCCGCCCCGCTGACGTCTTCGACTGGACGAGGACCGGAGCCCGTTCGATTGTGTACCTCCAGCATCGACAGTCACCTGCACCAATTCTTGGACGTCGAGCGTCGCGCCGTCGGAAACCCGACTTCATCGCCCACGATAAGGAGGTCTACGCATTGCCTGGGGCGAGGCTGGGGTTTTTTCGGCTTCTGTTTCCGCGATGGTCGGTCAGCGAATCGTTGATCCTGCGGGATAAAGGACATCCATCTATGTGTACGAGAGCCCAGGCACCGACAAACAGCCGCTGTCTGAGAATTGCGTGGAACAAGATGGATGCTGAGTACATGGCCACGATCTGAGATGGACCAGCAATAAGGTCGGTCTTGGATATCAGGTCGCCGGCGATGCCTGTCGGGAGCTGCAGAGGCACCGCCAGTGTGAACTGCCATCCGCGTGGCCCCGAGAGTGTCCGAGGCATATTTGACTCGCGGGGGGATGCACGGGCAGGCGCTATATGGGATTGCCGGTGGGGACGCCGCGTGCTCGAGCAATCGCGGGGGCCCCCGGGTGGGGGCGGGCGGAGGGAATCGATCCGGTGCTTGTATCGCGGGTGGGAGATCTCAGTTGCAAGTGGTCGCGGTGGGCCGATTGGATTGGGATTGCCTTTGGGAATAAGGTGCAGCTCCTGAGGGTTTGAGGAGGTACGTGCTTTTGCATCTGCTGTTGTTTTTTTTTTTTTGGAGATTTGTGTGAAATGTGGTTAGTTTTAGGAATTGGTTAGGGGAGTAATGGGAAATTTGGTGTTGGGAGATGTGGTTGATGATGCACCAAGAGCATGTTGGTGTGGTTGCTTGTGCTCTAGTTATAGGAATGTAGTATATGGTGGAAGTGATTTTGTATTGGTACAGTAGATACTGTTTATGCTTCTCCTAAGATAGTGTACATCAGTGCAGTGGATAGGCAATTGGCAAAGATATATTTCATGAATGATTTATTGAGTCGTAATGGCTTCTCGAGTACTTCGTTGTATAAAGGTGATCTCGTCATCAGACTCATCACATTTGTTTTGAAGAGATACAGTGGGTGAACCATACCCCCTTAGTTTCATTAATAAGAATTTAAAGAAATAAGCTAAGAAGCACAAAGGAAGCCGAAGAGAAAAACCAAGATACAGAGGATATGATGCTAACCAAAAAGATAAATGGTTATATTAATAAACAATAGGTAAAAGGTCAGCAAAGGCTCCCTTTATAAGGACAGGATCAGGAGTCAAACTACATAATATTCCTAAGATCCAGAACAAAAGATTAAGTGGAAGATCGTATTCGTTCATGACAATGTCATGCTCCAATCCTCGCTCTTGATTAGAAGAAATGTCTGGATCACTCCTATCAATCAGAAGGCGAAAGTATTGATTGCATGCTCTGACCAATGTAATGATCATATATGAAAGAGTAAGATCTTTAAATGTTACTAAATATTTTATTATTACGTTGTCCCCTTATTTGTCAAATAATAGTATCTCCTACCAAATTCCACAATGGTTTTATATAGAAGTTGTGATCTTATATGTGTCAAATAGAGCTCATTATCTTATCTGTGATTTTGAATGTGCCATGGGGTTGGAAGGGTGTTTGGTTGTAGCGTTCTAATCATTATGAAGGTTCGAGCTGAGTGAACAAAGGGAAAAGTTGTTTCCAGTTATTGTTTGATCTGCATGTGTATATGCGCGCGCACGTCAGTGTGTCTAAGTAAGGCTTTTTGCCTTTTTTTTTTTATTTTTATTTTTTTTTTGGGGGGGGGGGGAGTGCAGGGTGGTGGTGAAGTGCAGTTTTGAGATCACTTATGAAAGAGCTGGGGGGATGAAATACAAAGTCATTTCTAGTTATCCTGTTATCCACACATGCATATTTGGCAACAAGGAGTTATATGTCTAGTTCAGAGCATTACACAATGAAGAGATCTTGGGGGGAAAAAGTGAATGTCCTTGAATGCTTACATGGCGCTTGCTGCATGAGTAGAAAATGATGAGCATCATGGAGGTGTAATGGCTACATCTATTGAGGAGATGAGGTGATGGATTGTCTTAGATTTTTCTTTAAGTCCTCTGAAGAATTGACAAGAAATCCTAACATAACATGGGAATATCCCTGGACGTCTCCTTTGCAGTGATTGGAAAAAATTTTAGACCAATGCTTACTATGTTTAAGGCTATAGTCATAGTAGCAAACCAGATTGTACTCTTCTAGGAGGGAAAAGGATAACGTTAAGAAGCAAGTGGTGATTATTGGCAAATACTTCTCAAGGACAAATTTTCAAAACCAACCTATTTACAAATTTAATCGCAGAAAACAACCCACTTCAAATTTAATTGCAAAAACCGACCTGGTTTCAGCCTTAGCGCTGAAACCAGGTCGGTTTTTGTGAAAAAACTTTCGAAACTTCACGGGAGTTGAACTCCCGTGAAGTTTCCCAGTACAAAAAAAAAAAATGAACTACGAAACTTCACGGGAGTTCAACTCCCGTGAAGTTTCGGATAAAAATTTTCAAAAACCGACCTGGTTTCAGCTCCAGGGCTGAAACCAGGTCGGTTTTTGCAATTAAATCTGAAATAGGTTGTTTTCTGCGATTAAATTTGTAAATAGGTTGGTTTTGAAAATTTGTCCTACTTCTCAAACCCTTCTTGCATGCATGTCATCATGTTGGCAGGCACTGCAACTTATAAGCGTCTTGCCATCTACACTATAAGATTCAGTTACCTGTACGCTGTTTATGGTATTTAAAAGTCTGTTAAAGGTTGATTTTGCATTTCCGTAATAGGCTGCAGATGGATGCATTGAGAATTTGATATTCTAATTCTTATTATTTCTTTTGATCTTAAGGTAATTATGTCTCTGTTTTAATTCCCATATGACTTCATCAGTTCTTGCTAATTGAAATGTTTGAAGTGTAATCTTGAAGGAGGCATATTCTTAAATCCAAGCAAAGTACCCCTACTGTAACCTATAGGGGGGGGGTTATTTCTTGATAAGATGGGACTGACATTATAGCGGTGGAGGAGAGAGAAAATCGCTCCTAAAGTAGGAGAATGTTCAGTTGACTAAGAGAATTGAAATTTTCTGGGGACATATGTTATTCTGCTGAAGACGTTGGCTGAGGGTGCTACTTTTATGTAAGAATGGTATTGTGTGAGGGAGGATACATGTCACGTATGTATGTTATATAGGCTGGCCATTCTATATCAATAAGCAATGTCATTCTAATGTCACGTATGTATGTTATATAGGCTTGCCATTCTCTATATATATATAAAAACCTCACTATCCTAAAAACTAAAAACCAATCCTCTCCATTAGATCTAGATTCATCCAATGGCTGAGATTAAAGCTGCATAAGGGTAATTAGGTAAAATAAACAGCCCACTAAGAGATGTAATTAATGCTTCTCTGTTGAGTTCTCCATTTCCCCATGCAACTCTCTCTCTCTCTCTCCAAAATCACAACAACTCTCTCTGTCTTCAACATCTCCCTTCTTCAACCTTCGTCTTCTTCAACCTCTCTCTCTCCAAAATCACAGCAACTCTCTCTTCTTCAACCTTCGTCTTCATGATTTATGAAATTATTTTGACGCTTCGTCTTCACGGTCTTCTTCAACCTTCGTCTTCATGATTCAGTGGGCTCTTCACGGTCTTCTTCAACCTTCGTCTTCATGATTCAGTGGGCTGTTAAATTATTTTGACGCTTTAATGTTAAGTTTATAAAATTTGTTTGATTTTTCGTCTAAAAGTTTTAGTTTTAACCTTAAAGGTCGTAGATTTTTGTTGTAAAAGGTGAAATATTTCACCTTTTAGTCTGAAAAGTTTTTTGTTTTTTGAAGAAACCAGTTAAAAAACGAAGAGACACATAAGTGAATCTCGATTCACTGCAGTGAATCTCGATTCACAGCAGTGAATCTCGATTCACAGCAGTGAAGCCAGATTCAGTATGTGAGGTGTTTGTTTTTTACCATAAAAATCGTAATTTTTTGCTGTAAAAGATGAAATCTTTTCATGGTTTAAAATTTTATAGCTTGTTTTTTACCGTAAGTTTCTTATTCTTTTTGTTTAAAATTTTATAGCTTGTTTTTTACCATAAGTTTCTTATTCTTCAATATAATCCAGATTCAATGGAGTGACTCCAGATTCACTGGAGTGAATCCAGATTCACTCCAGCGAAAGCTTGGATGGTTAGGATGGTTTTTAATGAATTGTTGAAGAAATAAATGCATGTGCTGTAATTTCGAAGAAATAAACGCATGAGTGAATCTAGATTCACTGCAGTGAATCCAGATTCAGTTATGTGAGGTGTTTGTTTTTTACCATAAAAATCGTAACTTTTTACTGTAAAATGTGAAATCTTATCATGGTTTAAAATTTTATAGCTTGTTTTTTACCATAAGTTTCTTATTCTTTTTGTTTTTTATTTTTGCTGATTTGCTATTATTTGATAACGAGTTTCAGTCCACTGAATCTGGATTCAATTCAGTGAATCTGGATTCACTCCAATGAATCGAGCTTCAATATAATCCAGATTCAATGGAGTGAATCCAGATTCACTAGAGTGAATCCAAATTCACTCCAGCGAAAGCTTAGATGGTTAGGATGATTTTTAATGAATTGTTGTTGTGTTCTTCATGAGAAGATGGGAGATCAAAGCTTGATAGAAGATGGACGTGAGTTACAGAGAGTAGGAAGTGAGTTAGAGAGAGAAATGGGGAAATGGAGAACTCAACAGAGAAGCATTAATGTTGCTAGCCACCATTAATGTAGTGAATTGTTCCACGTGTTGTATTTTTGGTTTCCAATGTTGCCAGCCACCATTAATGTAGTGAATTGTTCCAATTTTACCCTTTTCATATTAATGATGTGTATTAAATTTGTCTATATTTATAATTCTGCCATTAAAATGTAGGCCATTGGATTAGATAGATTGGAGGGTTAGGATTGGTTTTTAGTTCTCTAGGTTTTTATTAGAACCTCTCCCTATATATATATATATATATATATACACGTGCAATGCACGTGGTAAATTTTTTAATTTATTATTTTGTTATTGATTCATTTCATTAAGATTTATTTAGTTTAAACCATGTATCAAACATATGGATACATACATTGCACGTGATACATATTAAGAAACTACAAGAGTCAAAATTAATAATGTTTTCATAATTATGCATTGAACTTATACACAATACACAAGATGAATGCCAATTAAACATTATCTCACAGGACTAATTAGAATATTGTCCATAGAGAAGGAACCTAATCAACCATATATATGGTGCACGTGATAAAAGTGACCGCACAATCAAGAAAAAGTTTGTTGATCTTAGCTTCAAGTCCCGATGAAAAACATTGGCTGATAACCAATAACACACAAAAAACAACCATTGATATTGTTAGAGAAAAATAGTTGTCAACGCCCAATCAAGCCAGCAAAAAAAAGGCATTCACCAATGTGGATATACTTCATAGCTATGGATATACTTCATAGCTCGCAAAAGTTGGTACATAAAAAACTGATGGTGTTCAGGCGTGAGATCGTCATTTGCCTTGATAACTTGATTAAGGTTAGATTCCATCAACTTGAAAACAACATAAATATCTTTAAATTCTCTCCGTGAGGGAGGAAGCATTATGTGCCTAATTTCTACAATGTCAGGGTGGCGGAGCAGCCCAAGCAATTTGATTTCTCGCAAGATGCGAGTAGCATCCGAAACATGCTCGAAGACATCGTTTATCTTCTTGATTGTCACCTTCTCTCCATTGTGGGTATCCACGGCCGCGTCGACGACCCCATAACTTCCCTTGCCGACCACCTCATGAATCTGGTATCGGCTCGCTTCGCCGTATTCAGTGAAGAAGTCTGCTTCATTTGTGCTCTGCATAAGTTCATAGCTTAAAAAGCTAGCTACCTATCTTAAAGAAAATGCAGATACGGTTAAAAATCCTAACTTGTTGCTAACATTGAATGATACAATGAAAGTTAGCAAGAATCAAACAACTGGGTAATTGAATTCTTGTTGAAATGGAAATCAAACTATAAATATCTCCAGAAGGATATGTATACCTGAATACAGTCAGGTAGATCATCACAAAGCATAAAGATTAATATTGGAGAAACGGCTCCACTCACAAGCCCACGTTGTAAAGCACCCTTCAGGAGAGAGAGATGCAACTATAAATATCTCCAGAAGGATATGTATACCTGAATACAGTCAGGTAGATCATCACAAAGCATAAAGATTAATATTGGAGAAACGGCTCCACTCACAAGCCCACGTTGTAAAGCACCCTTCAGGAGAGAGAGATGTCTTGGTTTTGGAGCATTCCACTCCTGCAGGAAACAATTTACTCTTTTTCAAACAATGACCAATAAGAACAAGAATATAACGGAATATGAGACGTATACATAGGAAGACATACTTGAAGATATCGAAACCTTCTCAGTTAAAAAAATTGCTTATGTTAGTAATTCAATCTACAATATTGATTCCACTCTCAGATTCTAATCCAATGAGCTCATGTAATAGTGGCAGAAATATTAAGTCTAAGTATTTGGGGGGGAAACTTTTAGATAGAAAGTAGTGTCCTATGCTATGCACTAAGATCATCAAACCAATGCAGACACATTCAACAGTGAATTTACCATACATTGAGAAGTTTTCTCCTATTATATTGAAAGTTGTAGAGTAAGATTTACGGACATGTTGGGCTATGTGGCATTTGTCAGATGTGCACTCAACACATCCTTGAGGACTCGTGCCAAGTGCCATTTTGATTCATGACACGCTCACAAATTAGTGTGCATCTCCCGCGATAAACCTCTAGCAATATATTTTTCTGTGTCTTATGGTCCGTTAGCAATTTGTCCTAGATTCTTTTGTCTTTAATTTTTTACTAATATTTGCGACATACACTCAGAATAACAAATTACAAAAGTCCCAACTCCTCACTAATTCTTTTCCATGTACTCTTTATACAAGTCCCAACTCCTCACTAATTATTTTCCATGTACTCTTTATACCGGTTTAACAGAATAAATTCAGTGGTTAAGCTTGGAGAGACTGGCATTTAAGGAAGCAATGTCATCAGATCATTTCAAGAACTCTTCAATCTATCATAGCAAGTTGAATGAATCTACTACTTCTGCGTCACGCACCAGGTGGGAGTCCATGATTTCAATTTCGACGCCCATCCAGCCTCATAAGGGTGACATATGATGTACTTACCACTGAGAAAAATCTCCAACACTTGTGATAAGCTGCAGAAATAACAAATGCGTGAGGCCCTGTACCTGTACCAAATCAGATGTCTCCAAACTCCAAAGAGGGGAACGTCAAAAGGATAAAGCTTCATTTTTTTTGTGTGTAATAAAGTGTCCATGTATGAAATACGCTCCTAAAGTAATCGCATCGTGAGCATGTGAATGTAATCAGTTTACTGCCCTACAAAATTAATTGTGCTCTTTCATATGCACCTGTTTGGAATGGAGTTTGATATTGTTATACGCATGATGGATCCACCCTACCTACCTATGCAATCTACAAACTCCTTCCTTCACTCGCACATAAGCCGGATCAGGCGGTAAACATCCCAATATTGAGATCGGAAGGGGGGGTGTAGCAGTTACCTAAACCTAATCCTAATTACCCCATCCACAGAAGCAACACGTAAATTTTACAAGAATAATAACACTAATAATAATGGCAATCTTAAATGATGTTGAGATCGCCAGGAGGAGGAGCTCACCGAAAAGATGGAAGGGGAGGCGTGGCCGAGAGGAGCGAAGAGAGAAGTCCATAGCGCAGGAAGAAGAAGCACCACCAGTCAACATTCATATTACCAACCTTTTCCTTTTAAAGTTTAATGTTTAATGCTATCAGTCATTGCCAAGAGATTTGGCACAGTGATGACGTAAGGTTGATCATAAAACTAATATTAGACTCTCTATTTGGAGTTCCCACAGGACACGAAACTAATGATTTTTATGATCCAGAAATTTAAAATATGAGAATATGTTATATATTTGCAGTATCAGAATTCAGAAATGCAATTACCAGAAGCTGAAGGTTCATCAATCTGGAGCAATCAAGCTTCAAGATCTCCAAGGAGCAACAATTGCTGAACACCAAAAAAAGGGGGAAACAGGAAAAAAAACTATTAGTGGACATGTAGATACAACCAGATGACAAACTAACAAAGATATAACAGGAAATTGATTTCAAATTAAGACTATTGAGATTGAAGCATGCTAGATCCACTTCCTTCAGGTTAGCAGACAAGTTAAGGTTTAACTTAGATAGATGAAAACAGCAAGCTGAAGACGTGACTGTAAATTTCTTAATGTTGGGACATCCAATACAGTTGAGGGTCTACAACTTCTCTTGAACTTTTCATTTTTTCTCCGATTTCTTACGAGTCATAATAAATCCATAAATGCCATGACAATTTGAAGCCTAAAATGTTAATAGGAAATAGCAGATGCAAGCAGTTCTTTATTGAGCTC